AAACTAGAAAGTGTACATGAGTGCCATAAAGGTAATGATGACGAAGGTCAAAAAGGTAAATAAAATAGCATTTAGCCTACTTGCTAGACAAGAATGTAATATGAATGTCAAAGAGGCTAGACTAATTTTAATATGAGAACTAGTTGGTCATCTCTGCAGGTGTTAAGGTTCCAAGGCGATGAATAATGATTCATCTCACTACTATATAACTACACTATAATGTACTATATAAATACAGCTCTCTTAATAGGCATAAGCCTGTGAGCATTATTTTTGTACTCAAACTTTGCTTGCGGAAGTGGGAATGGCAGTGTTGTAGAGAATTTGTGCTCAGTCCATAATTTCTCCAATCGAGATTTGAAAATGTTCAGGGACGGACGGTGTGTGGACCAATTTCTTCAGAAGCCCATTCCAGCTGTCCACAATTCTAAATGTGAAAGGTTACTTCTGAGTGAAGTAATTCTTCTGAAGTTTGTAGATGTGAACACCAGTGGCGGAGTCGGGTTTACGTCCGACGGGGAGGCGAAATATCTGAGGTTGCCCGAATTTCTATCCTTATGAGATTTTTGCCTGAAAAACTACTTTCGGAGCTGCGAGGGGGACGCCCCCTCTGCCCCCCTTTAGCTCCGCCACCGGTGAACTCTTCTTGTTCTTGACATGGTGGGTATTCAAAAATGCATATCTTTTGAAAAATTAATTACTTGTTTGGCCGTATTAGCTCGTTTAAAATTTATCGCTTTTTATCTTTAATCTGTTTGGTTCCTGGTCGTTTCACGTTTTCTTTAGCGATTCCGGTTGGTTCATGTTTTAATGAGTACACAATATATGAGTTTACGCGATCTGTTGAATATGATTTGAGTTTGAGCCTAGGAGGGAACAAATACTTCATTAAGAAAATGGAACTAACGGTCACGAAATGCTGGGAATTCAATTGTCTTTAATTTGCTTTGAACAATGTCATTCAAGTTCTGTTTTTTTTTTCAATATGCTGGGGAATTTCTCTTGTACGCTCTCATAATGGGCATGGACTATCTTACTTGCTAAATTGCCATTGGTATTAAACGAGACGACAAAGGCCTATACGTATTTTCTGTCTCAATCGTCCTTAACTTGACGGAATTTCGTTTTTCCATCTTCTGGCAGGTCAATTACTATGTGCTCAATAGATGATAGTATATGATCGTCGGATGCATGGTCGTCCAAGTGGGCCGTAAACCGAGTGCGGAAATTATTATTATTATAATTATTATAATCCTTCAATACATTTATTTAAATGTCATCAGAGATAATTCTATTTTTGTATCCACCAACTAACAATTAACTAAATCTGTAATGTAATTGAAACCTTATTTTCCATTCGAACCACACACTAATCTATTATAACAAAAGAGTCTATAGGTTTGTCACTAATCAGCATTTGAGTAAAAAAATATATTTTCATTTCTTTCCTATTCCTTGAAAGAATTGATAAATTAAAAAAGGTCAATTTGTTTTATAATCCATTTCGTGTTTCATTTGTATGCACAATAGATATACCACGATTTAAATTGCTCCTTCACAAACGGGTCACATGCGATCTCCAATTTGTCTATGAATAAGAATTACACGATTTACTTTAAGTTTAGCATTAAGTTAGCCAGTTTTTAAATATATTTAAGATGATTCTACATTCGAAATATTAAATTAAATTACAAGTTTATGATATTCGGGAAGAATAGAATTATATTAGGCTTAATATTATTTGGTGCATATGGGCCTAGCTCAATTCACACCAACGGCGCTTTGATGGCGCTTTAAAGCGGCGTACAAAGCGGTAGCAAAGCTCAACTAAAGCGCCAGGGTCGTAATAGATCGTTGGAAAGCTTTGAGCAAAGCTGGATATTCGGCAAGAGCGCCAAAAAATTTTAAACTGTTTAAAAATTTTGGGCGCTCTGTCACGAATTGATTAAAGCGCCGAGAACGTATCAAAGCGTAACAAAGTTCAGCAAAGCTTGACTCAAAGCGTAGGAAAGCTTAACAGAGCTTTATTCAAAGCGGGGACGCCAGTTTTCACGGTTTGTCACCACTTGATCAAAAGCGGCATGAAATCGGCCATTTCGAAATTTTCCAATGCGTAACAGAGCTTAACAATGCATAACAGAGCTTGATAATCGTATCAGAGCGTGATTTAAAGCGTCATAACCGCATCAAAGCTTAATAAAGCTTATCAAAGCGTGATTTAAAGCGTAACAAGGCCTGATCAAATCGGGAACTAATTCGTCCCCAAAGCGTAACCAATTCGTATCAGAGCTTATCAGAGCGTAACATTACTTAGGAGATCGTGATATTTTTTGAAAAGTAAACAAAAAATGATGGCGCTTTGCTCGCCGATTTATAGCGCGGCATTCGCCGTTAGTGTGAACTAGGCATAAGTAAACCAAGTTCGAGGTTTCGAATGTTAGACGCTCTTGATACCTTTTCTGAGAGGTATTACTCATGAAAAAGTGATTCTTATATTAAGTGTCACGTTTGGCATCAATTTGACTGATGATCCCTAAATATGATTTGAGAACAATATATTATCTTAGGTGATATGCTGAATATGATTTGAGTTTGGGCAAACTATAGAAATTTTCTATATGAGTTAAAATAATCTGTTAAATATGATTTGAGTTTAAGCGACCTTTATCCAGTTAATTATGGTAAGAAATATAAAATGTCACTGTTACGATACTTTGTGCAACAGTATTATCCTGGAGTAGATATACAATTTCATTGAAAAACTGTTGCCAAAATGTGATTCCGTTATTATTGGTAGTAGTAGCTCATGTCAAATTTCTAATTATTTATCTGGTGTGTCTGGTGTTTAGTTAACTTAAGTACTCAACAAACTTGACCCAAAACGAAAGAATAATGGACAGTTAGTGAACTTTTTTTCTACCAAATTATAGAAAGTTAATGAGTTCTCAGACAACACTCATACATTCTAGTAGATAGTGGCTAAATAAACCAATTGATGACATCATTATTTAAGAAATTTTAGGGTTCTACATTAAAAATTTATAGGCATCATCTTAGCCTTGTTACAAGCTAAAAAACAAAAAAAAGGGAAAGAATGCTGTAGTCTGTAGAGTGATCGTGAGATAAATGTGAACGGCAATATACAAATGAAAAAAATCATCTGTCAAAATTTGTGCACGTAAGAGATAGCTACCTGCTAAAAAGATAGCTTGCCAGGCAAGGTTTATACGCCCACTGGCAGCTTTGATTTTGAATAAAAATATCTGGCTGTACAGTAACCATTACCAGTATGAAAAATTCAACCTTCAGTCATAGACTTCTTGAAAACATGTCCGTCAGTCCCTCCGTCCACAATTGCTCGTAAACACTCTACAAGACACAATTCTTGACGGATTTTGACAAAACTTGGTATGAATGTTCGTAATCACCCAAGGATGAACCCTATTGAAAATCAGAAAAATCGAAAAATATTAAGTATGAGTTATTGTCCTTGTTCTTGAAAACGCGTTCAATTTTTAGCTCGTAAACACTATAGAAGGCCCAATTCTTGACAGATTTTGACAAAACTTGGTGTGAGTGTTCGTAATCACCCAAGAATGAACACTATTGCAAATCAGAAGAATCGAAAATATTTTGTATGAGTTATTGCCCTTATTCTTGAAAACGCTTTCAAATTTGGCTCTAAAAGGCATGATTGTTGCCGGAATTTGACAAAACTTGGATTTATTATTCAGTCCCGCGCTGAAGATTGAATATTTGCCTTCTAGAGTGTTCACAAGCTAAAAATTGAACACGTTTTCAAGAACAAGGGCAATAACTCATACTCAATATTATTCAGTATCGCCCTAAAGAGTTCAAAAGAAGTGTATGACTGAATGTTGAATATTTCATACTGGTGATTGTTACTAATATTTTTATTCAAAATTAAAGCTGCCTGTGGGCGTATATTACCTTGCCTGGCAAGTTATCTTTTGATTTTCGATAGGGTTCATCCATGGGTGATAATAAACAATTTCACAAAGTTTCATCAAAATCTGTCAATAATTGAGCCTTCTAAAATGTTTACAAGCTAGAAATTGAATGCATTTTCAAGAACAAGGGCAATAACTTATACTCAATATTTTTCGATTCTTTAGATTTTCAATAGGCTTTATCCTTGGGTGATTGCAAACACTCACACCAAGTTCTGTCAAAAACTGTCAAGAATTGTGCCTTGTAGAGTGTTTACAAGCAATTGTGGACGGATGGACTGACAGGGGCGATGGCAATATACGCCCCCCTTTCATGTGGGCGTATAAAAAATTGTAGTCTCTACTGTGATCACAAGAATTGTTGACTGAGGACAGAGGCGAATTCATACTCTATAATTTTCATGTTTCTTCATGAAACTTTTCATTTTTTATCACATAATTACATACAAAAATCTGTTTCTTGACATTGTGAAGATGCTGACATAGGGGAACACAATATATATAGATATATATAGAGGTTGGCTTATATTAAAATGTAGTTTCTTTTGTTTGGATTGGCAATTAGTTATAAAATCACTAAAAAGTAAAATTTTTGATAAGATTATTTGCATAGATATACTCCATCAAATAATAGCAACACATGACCACATAAACTTGCATCTTTAATAAAGTGGGTAGTAGCCTGCTGCCTTTTAGTGCTACTTATATATACATATAATATAAAAACACTAGTATCAGTGTCTTGTCACTTATTAATGTCATTTTTTATCTCTTCATGTTTCAGCACTGATTTGCATTGACTATTTCATCTATGTGATCCAATTGTAAACCATTAACTAAATCACTTTCATCATCTGAACCACTGAGAGAGGCTGCTTCAGAGTCTCCTGTTGTTCCACTACAAACCTTTTTATATGGTTTGGTTCTGACTTTCAGGAACTCATCTTGACTTAATAAATAAATACCACCAGCTGTTAGTAATTTACCATGTCTAGTTTTAAGATGCCTTTTATACGTATTACGAGTTTTAAATTTCAATGGACAGTCTGTGCATTCAAAAGGTGTTTCTCCAGTGTGACGTCTTAAATGCTCCTGAAATAGGGAATAATTGAGATTAGTTCTTCAACCCTTTAAACATCGTGAAGTTGTTGTTACCATGTTATGTCACATGCTTCAAATAATAATTATTACTTGCAGACCAGGGTACCAGACAATTTATTTACAAACCATGTCTATAATACCATAGTTCTCTTCAACTGCGAAAAAGAAAAGTTTAATGACAACTCAATATTTGCACCATATGCTTCTTTAAGCCATTGGATTCCCTTCATGATGCTTCTCTAAATAATCGTTTCTGTTAGTCATATCTCATGAGAAATTAGGACAAAGAGCACATGCAGTTGGCAAAAAGGGGAAACTTTATTGATTTTTAAGAAATTCAGGCGTAGCCAAACATTCGCATAGCACTAAAATAACAAAAGAAAGATACACAAATTACAAAATAAAATGCAATTTTATTTGACTACATAAGTAAAGTGCAACACAATAATCAACACAATCAATAATTCATCAACACAGTCAATAAATCCAATTTAAATCAAAAACATTTCACAATCATCCTATAAAGATGATAATCCATGTCAAATACTCACACCTATAAGCAACTTTAAAATAACATGTAATCCGCAGCAAGAAATTCAATGCGTAAAAATAAGCAAGCAACAAGCAATTTGAAAGTAAAAATGTCACAAAATGTGCAGCAAGAATAATTACAATACCGGTATGTCAAAAGTCTGATAATTCTATTTGAAGTTATTCAATCCGATCAGCAAAATTAAAAATATCACATCCACAGTTAGAGACACAATAGGTTATAACATATCAAAAAAGTTGATGTCTTAAAAGTCAACAATTAACTAATTCAACATAATTATCACAATTAGGTCTTGTACTTATTGTCAATATTTCACACTAAATTCAAGTTTTGTATGATAATTTTTGAAACAATCAGGCATACACATTGGCAAATTGCAGTTTTCACAGTACCAGTTTGTTTGATGATGATTCCCAGATTCTCTATCACTACAAACTACACAATCTGGATGGTATTTCTTGTTCTCATAATTTGAGTGAAAATGTCTTGCCACTAAACGTTGTGCTCGTACTTGATTTTCCTTGACTTGTTCTTGACGGGTAATCTTTTGTTCTGTGAAATCAAACTGTCAATAACGCATCTCCTAAATTTCACTTGATCCATTTTAATAGTAGGATTGTGTTCATGAAATAATATGAAAGCATTTACTAATGCGGTTTCTTTTATAAAATGATAAATCACCTGGTACCATTTTTGACACTTATGGGGGAATTGATAATATGCGCATAATTGGTCGAATCTGTCAACACCTCCCATGTATTTGTTGTAGTCCTCTACTAAAGCTGGTTTCCAGAGGTTTCTAACCTCTTCACCAATCTTATGTCTCACTTCCTTATTCACAACACCATTATCATGAACTGTTGATATCGCAGTTACACGGGCTGTGTCTGCTTATTGTCAGTAATATATTGTCTTTCTCCCAAAAAACTGGACTGTCACCTTTTTTTAACTTCACAGTCTGTAAGTCCACTGGCAAACCTTTCCTGTTGGCCCGTACCATACCACAAGCTCCAATATTCTGATGAAGTAAATAATAAAACAGATTTGGAGATGAAAAAAAAATATCCATAAAAACTTTGTATCCATTTGTATATCCATTCAAAAGTTCTTTCACAACTGAAAAGCCAAGTCCATTTTCTCCACTCTCTGTCTCTTTGCCAACATACACTTTCCACTTTAAATTAAAACCATTCACAGCATCACATAATGACCAAATCTTTAAACCCCATTTGTTCGGCTTGTTTGGCATGTACTGTTTAAAGCTGACTGCCTTTAAATTTTCTCATGGTTTCATGTATGGACAAATATTGATGTGACTGGTATACTCCAATAACCAATGAAATTAAAGATCTGACTTTAAATAGGAAGTCAAAACCAGGTTGTCCTTTTACTTGTAAAGAATTATCACTGAAGTGAAGAAATGAACGGAGCAGTTGAAATCGGTTGCAGCTCATCATATTAGAAAAACTCACTGTTTATGTCAGCCACCATTCATCCAAATAACTTTGAAGAGTACGATTTTCTGCATCGCCATCAGGCCTGCTGCCAATATTTTCCTTGTCACCATCATCATCCGCTACGGTCCATTCATCGTCCGATTCAGCTCAAAAATTGCCGCTAACACCTCTTCTTCATTGTGGTAACTTTGCCGTTTCGCGATTGAACTCAAACTCCAAGTATCGGTTGACTTCGGAGATTGCTAACTTTTGATTTTACAGAATAAACCTGCTGTTTTTCAGCAGACGTGTAAACAAACAAATGCGACACCTATTTCATTGCTTCCCTTAGCTAGGACTACACGCACAACAAACATGTACAAAAATGTCGGGAAATTCGCTTCTAGCATCTGCTTATCATTACGTTAACTTTGACGTTTCACTATTGAACTCTTAAACATACCGATTGACTTTTAAGATTAATATCTTTCGATTTAACAGAATAAACCAGCTAATTTGTAGTGGGAAAACCGAAAGAAGACGTGGAAACAAAAGAAAGTGACACCTATTTCATTACCTCCCTTTGATATGACTACATACACTACAAACATGTAAACATAACATAAAAGTGGAAAACTTTCGACGCTTGGCAATGTAACATCAAAACCCATTGTCGAAAATTTTTGACGTCTGGCAGTGAAAGGGTTAATCATATACCTACCTACATAAAGAGGAAATTGATTATAGCTAAAAATGACTTACAGAATTTTTATTATAAAAAGTAATAACTTTAATACTGAAATTGTTCTTAATTTGAAAAAATGTTGAAATTCTTGCATAATAAAATCAGTTTTGAAATAATGATAATAATAATAATGATAATGATTTATTTTTGATATAGTGTTTTACTATAGAATTTATCTAGAGAGTACATGATAAACATGATTCAATAACCAACAAAAAAATGTACAACAAAAATAACAATTAATTGAGAGCTTACGAATAGTTCAATTTACAGAGGTAAGTTTTGAGTGCTACTTTAAAAAAAAGTTTTTGGACAGCTTTTGGTTTGGATCATTGGATTCAATACCTTAACTAAGTCACTATGGTAGAGCAGTGCTGACTCAATAAGGCATATTAATATAAAAATAATGCAGAAAATATTGAACAAAACTCGCATATCGTGGGTGACAGCTTGATACCTCGTATAACGATATCCGATGCGGAATTACTTTTCAAGAAAAACTCAAAAAACTATTTGTATGCGTATTTTGTTAAAATCTTTTTGATTATGTTTTTTTACCTCTATACGTGGTTTTCATTCTTGGAAAATATAAACCTCGTATAACAATTCGAGATCATCGGCCTATTGAACCAAAAACTCGTATAATAATACAGTGTACGAAGTTTTTCATCTTCATACGCAGAAAAGGAACATTCAACCTCGTATAATAATATATTTTACGAGGTTTTAAATCTGACTGTTTATATATGTGTTATTTAATTAGCGCTTTTTGAGTTATTTAGAATCAAGCTAAGAATACGAGGATTTGTTCACGAGATCACGAGCTTTTGAACGGTACCAAAAAGTCAAAATGACCAAATATGGCATATACGCGGTTTCGAGCGGTCACCCACAATATCATATCTGTCTGACAAGCTGCTGCGTTTGGGATGTGTTGTAATTTGGCATACTGATTATCATATAGTCCGAAAAATAAACTGTTACAGCCTTGAAGTAATAAATGCGGGTATCAGTTTCTAATTTTTCCTATTCGCCAAAGTGAGTGAGCAGCTGCTCTGTATATGCTATTTATATGGGTGTTCCTGGTTCCACTTCAATCTAACATCACACTCAGATCACAAACTGAGTTTGAGGCGGATACCGTGACATTCCCAATCCCAAATATGGGACTACAGCACATCATTATATGTGCAATAACAGTAATTTGTTTCCAATTGTCCGAGACACTCCAAAAAATATGTAAATTTTCATTTTTTGATTGTGTATTCAAGCACAAAGTCCAAAAATGTAGAACTATTTGCATTAACAAGGACAGATTGACACGTGTTGAGACTATATCAGAGAGTGATTGTATAAAAATATTTCAATAGTGTATGTGTAAAGTAAAACCTACCTTAAAATGACTTGGGTGTCGAAATTTTCGTCCACAATCTTTACAGGTAAATCTACTTTGATTATTATGTATCAACATATGATAGTTTAAACTGTGCTGACGGGTAAAAGTTGTGTTGCATATTAAACATATGAATGGCTTGATCCCTGCAAAAAACAGATATTGCTTTCATATAATATCACCATAAAAAATGACATAAAACAGAAACTAGAGCCACACGTGGCACTTTGCAAATGTAGCAAATTGCAAAAGACCCTGAAAAAATCAACCTTCCACGATAATTAGATCATGTGCAAGAACAGTCTAAAGTTGAAAAATTTTCATTTTTTAGTAGATTCTAAAACCGGAAGTAGACGTCAGACCTCACAAATGAAAGTATTAGCAGATAGCCAAGGTCAATGACCTTTGATCTTGTAAAGGAGAAGGTCTAAAAAGGTCAAGATCAAGAGATATACGTCATAAAAATTTCTAATTGCACACGACTATAAAACCGGAAGTTGACATAGGACAGCAAATATAAAAGTATAAATAGATAGCCAATGCCAATGACGTTTGATCCTACAATGGTCAAGGTCAACAAAGGCCAAGGTCACAAATTGAAAATTTTCAATTTCCAAAACCTGTTCCTTTTTTTGAACTATGAAGCGGAAACAACCAAAATTCTAAGACAAAGTGGCTCAAAACATGAGATAATTGTATGCAAAGTACCATGTTGAACAAACATATACTTTGCGAATTATGCTCTTGGCCAAAAATGTCAATAATGAGTAATATAACCCAGATGTGCCACGCCCACCTTAATTTTTTTTGCATAGGGTAATAGATATTCCAAATGTTATGTTGTGTTTTAAATTTCAAGCTTCTACATTATTCAGGTCAAAAGATATAGGTCAACAAATGTCAACAAAGGTCAAAATCGAAATATGAAAATATCCAAATGTTAAAACCAGTTCCTTTTTTGGAACTATAAAGCTGAAACAACTGAGCTGTTAACACAAACTGGCCAATAGGATGAGGTAATTGTGTGCAAAGGCCCTTTTTGAACAAACGTATCCTATGCGAGTTATGCCCCTGCCTCTAAATGTAAACAATTAGTAATTCAACCTGGATGTGCCACGCCCACATTAATTTTTTTGGTCATATTTTGATTGATATCTGAGGTGACTAGTCACATTGAAAATTTGAAGCTTTTCCATTGAATAGTTCATGAGATATGCAAAAATACGTTTCAAAATCAAAAGTTACAAAAAATCGGAAATAGCAAATATGCATCAAAACTCTTTTGTAATATATCAATGGAAAGATCTCGAAGAGCCCTATAAGAATCCGAAAAAAATAACTCTCCAAGGTAATTCGGTCGCGTGTAAGAGCAGTCCAAAGTTGAGATTTTTGCTGATTTTAGACAGTTATAAAACCGGAAGTAGATGTCAGAGGTCAAATGTCAAAGTATCATCTGGTTGCCAAGGTCAGTCGCCTTTGACCTATCAAAGGTCAAGGTCATCAAGGATCAACGTCACGAGATATTCAACGCCTTCTGGAGCCAATTTTCGAGTTTTGCACATGTTGAACAAAAATGTTTCAATTAAATTTATGCACAACGTTGCCATTATCTAAGGTTCAAGAAAGTTGAATGATTGCTGCAACTACTGCAGTCTAAGCTCAGGAAGGTGTGTAAAAATCGAAAAAAAAAAAAAAAAAAAAAAGAATTGACAATATGATAACAAACTGGGACTTTGCGGTTATTATTATATAAAGCTGTACAGATGTGCTATTTTGTATATAATTCTGAAATGATAGCTTGCCAGACAAGGTGATACATGACCACAGGCAGTTTTGATTTTGAATAAAAATATTTGACAGTACAGTAAAAAATATGCATTATTCAACCTTCAGTTATACACTTCTTTTGAACCTTTTGGGGTGAGACTGAATAATATCGAGTATGAGTTATTGCCCTTGTTCTTGAAAACGTGTTCTGATCAATTTTTAGCTCGTGAAAACCAAGTTTTGTCAAAATCCGGGAAGAATCATGCCTTTTACTGTTTAAGAGCTAAAATTTGAAAGTATTTTCAAGATCGAGGTCAATAACCCCTATGAAACATTTTTAATTTTCATCAATGGGTTCATCTACGGATGATAATAAACAATTTCACCAAGTTTCGTCAAAATCTGTCAAGAATTGAGCCACCTAGAATGTTTACGAGCTAAAAATTGAACGCGTTTTAAAAACTCATAATAAATATTTTCAATGGGGTTCATCCTTGGGTAATTACGAACATTCACACCAAGTTTCATCAAAATCCGTCAAGAATTGTGCCTTCCAGAGTGTTTACGAGCAAAAAATTGAACGCCTTTTCAAGAACAAGGGCAATAACTTATACTAACTATTTTTAGATTCTTCTCACACCAAGTTTTGTCAAAATCCGTCAAGAATTGTGTCTTGTTGAGTGTTTACAAGCAATTGTGGACGGACGGGCTGACAGACGGACATGGGTGACGGCAATATACACCCCAGGATAGGTAACAGGGTTAAAATTGAAAGAAGGCATATTTGACAAAAAATTTGTCGTTGTTTGTGCTGTTTTTGTTGATTGAAAAATTGAAAGGTTTATCGTCATGGTGTATAAATTATCAAACATGTCTAATAACAATTCCAGGAAAAGAGGAAACCAGGACTGTCTCAGAGATATGGGTGCTACTAGAAGTAGAACACAATCTTCAGAATTGACTTTGACAGGACTTTTAGAACAATGGAAGTGGGAAGGCATAAGTTAACATTCCCTTCCAAGTAATTGACAGAGCATCACACTTCCAAGCATGCTGAAATAGATAAGAGAATCAGAACACTCAGATTTTCGTATGTTTCAAAAAGATCTATGTTGGGGTGAACTAGACAATCGAAAATGGTCTTAACCATGTGACGATTTAGGTACAATTCAGTGGACTGAACTTTCTGACCTTGAGAAAGACCTGGTGTGTGGGCTGCAGAATCCAGATTCATACTGCAATGAAGCATTTCCCAAAATAGAAAACACAAGTCCGGAGAATAGGTTGACATAAGCTACTACTGTGGAATTGTCTGTGTGTACATACACTTTCCCCCTTCAATAAATAAATTAGATACTGAAAAACATTGAACACTGCCTTCAGTTCTAGCCAATTGATATGTTTCTGAGCCTCTTGGTTATCTTAAATTTCTTGAACTCTCTCTTCCAAAGAATGGGCTCCCCATCCCAGACAGCTGGCTTTCGTCCAAATTGACATTTGTACTGGGTGTCCTGCAATTGAAACTCCACCACTGAAGATCGAAGAAAAGATTTTGAGTTATAACAATCTGTTTGAGATGACTCTCAGCATGTTGTCAGAACTGAACTGAAATCTTGCCATGGCACTAGATCGATACATGCTGCCATGAGTTCCAGCAAGAGCAAAAAGACATGAGCAGGAACTTGCAAACTCTCCACAAATAAATTGATCATTTCCTGAAGTGAACTGAAGCGGTCTTCTGACAAGGAGATGTAATTAATTTCTTTAAGTTCACCAGTAACCTCAGACTGGAAAGTAACTTCAGTATATAATCTATTCTTGCAGCGAGGATGTAGCGCTGAACGGCTCTTATCAACCAAGCTTCTAAATATTGAAAAATGAGGCGCTGCCGAGCTCGTAGATAACCCCCCACCACAGCCATTACCTTTGTAAAGACCCGAGGAGCCGTAGCCACACTAAAGGATATTGTTGAGAAATGGTAATGAATTCCATTTATGTGGAGGATAAACTGGTGTGTGTAGAGATACGTCTGTCAGATCTGAGGACGCTACCCAATCGTTGGGATTTAGAGCCTGATACATCAGAGTCTGAACTTGAATCGAGATTCCTCCAATTTGAACAAAACTTGTCAAATCTTTTCTTAGATTGTTCAGATTGCCTTACTAAACTAGTTCACTTCTTGGTACTCTTGAAACTTTCAAATTTCTGATCTATGCAATCTTACACGGCTTTCAAAACTTATTGAAGTAGGCCTTGATCTATAGACAAGGAGCTGGACTGAGTGCAGGTGGGCAGATTTGAAGCTAAAATAGGCTGGCCTTGAGCCTCCTCAAAGGAAGGTCTGATGAACTGAAGCCTGCATCTGACTGAGGCATCACTATATCTTACTATATCTTAAAGAGGACAGCAAAGGATGACTGGAACCACCCGATCCAGGTATTTTATCAGGAACAGTCTCTTTCAAAGTGGCAGAAGTAACTGTACAGGTCTTAGAATTCTTACAGCCTTAGATGGGCCTTCTTTACAATTTTATGATTTTAAGGCCATTTTTCCTGACCCAAAGACACTGTGGATGATCATCTATGATATTCATTTCCTTACCACAAATGGAACAAGACTTATTATTGTCCATGGCAGACTGGGAAATATTCCGACACAGTATAAAAAAAAATGTATGCTAAAATAAAAAATATAAAAATGGCCTCCGAGAAATGTACATAACTTCTGCTTGTCCCAAATACTCACCTGAAACTTTGAAAATTACGGAGCCCCTTAGGCGCAATTTTCGGTACATTTATAAAATATTTCGTTTTAACGAAATAAGTATTTCATTTAAACAAAATAATTAATTTGTTAAAACGAAATAAGGTCATATATTTCATTTAAACGAAGTAATCATTTCATTTAAACGATATAATCATTTCATTTAAACAAAATAATCATACTTATTTTGTTAAAGAAATACATTTTTAAATAAGTTATTCGATTAATCAAAAAAAATTATTTCGTTTAAAATAAAATAATTAATTCATTTAAACAAAAAGTCTTTTCGTTTAAACGAAATATATGATATTATTTTATTTAAACGAATTAATTATTTCGTTAAAACGAAATATTTTATAAAAGTATGGAAAATTGCGCCTTAGTGGCTCTGTAGAAAATCAATGGGCGGAAGTGGTTTATAGTAAGGGGAGGTAACTAGCAGTGAAATTTGATAGAGGTTCCATGGGTTCATCCAGGAATTGTGCTTATAGCTAGGGATGCAGGTAGGTACATATATTGATATAGACTCATCAATATATGCATGCATACAATGTTTCATTAAGATCAGATAAAAACTGTGGCTCCATCGGGTCCACCACTCAAATTTCATACAAGTTACTCTAAACAACTTTAAGTAAAAGGCATTAACTCCAAAACTGTCATCCATTTATTACCAAAGATCTCATCCATACATGAGTTACATAATTATGGGTTTTTTTTTTGCAATACCGGATAGATTTTTACATAAATGCAACATGAAATGATCAGAGACGTTTCAAAGTCAATTCGTTTGCAGCAAAATGGTGAAATGCAAAATTTGGGGTTAAAACCGTTTCAAAGGCCAGGTGGGCATGAGGCTGTCAAAGACTCTTTAACACCAATAGCAAATGTATTGGAAATTAAGATATGTTACTCTGTCTTTTTACCCACATGATATAAGGATTAATGCAAACTAATCAAACTATGGGTTCACCAATCTGATATACAGGCGTTTTTGTCCGAAAATTTGATTTGGTTTCAATTTGCTGATACGATTTGGTGTAATTTCGATTAGATTAGGAGTGGTCTACAAATGCGAAATGTGATATCGGTGATTAGGCAACATGGCTGCCTCTGCTGACAACAAAAGAAAGTCATCTATTTTGATTATTATTATCATTATTGCTTTGTTTTCGAATTGATTTTTTTTTTTTTTTTTTTTCCGTCTAGGCAGGCCGGTTTTCTCGGCAACGGCAATAGGTACGGGAAAACGGACTTCATGGCGTTTTGTAACTCGTGGCTAATCACAGTTTAAATGTAAAACGAAAACTTTCTGAGAAACATTACGCAACGTTGCAACAAACGGAAAATGGACTCTAGAGGGCGTGTTTATCAACCGAATTTGATCGGGTTTTCTGCATCGTATTTCTTGTAACAAAGGACAAATGATAGCAGTTGAAAATTTTCGATTTTCGAAAATTCGTTGCATACTTTTTTTGCCGAAATTAATCGAAAAATACTATTTCGGTTGTTATCGGACGGATTGACTTGAAACTTACGTGGTGTAGACCGCCAGCATAGAGACATAAAGTACACATTCAAATTTTTCTATCACTTCCGGTTTCGATGTTAGTACTTCCGGTGGTATCACTTCCGGTGAAATTGAGTTATGTCAAAAATAACATATGCATTATATTACCAGTCTTAATGCAAACTTATTAAACTAAATAAATTCGCACCGGAAGTAACATGTTGGCCGCCATTTTGGTTTGCCTCATTTTGCAGAAATTGCTATTCAGAGACCATTTTTCATCTGATTTGCATAACTTTTGTGTCAAACGATACGTTTCAAGTCTGTCTACAATCCTTAGGCAGCATAATTTTGATTTTCGGTTTTGCCTTTTTTGTACGACCGGATGTTTTTTTTCAAAGTTTGAACGCGTATATCTCATGACCTTGACCTTTAAAGACCTTCATATTTACTACGATGATAATATGTGACCTTGTCTATCTGATGACCTTTTGACCTTTGGGGTCAGACAACTCTTTCCGATTTTACAGGGGTCTAAAAATGGACCATTTTGAGTCTTTGCAGTGCTATATCTTGGTCCCTAATAGAGATATGGCGATAATTCTTTTGATTTTGTAATGTAGAGATTCTGAGGTTTCCATTGATATAAAACATGCATGCCTTACATGCAAATTCAAAACCCCATTCACTAAACATGGGACTATTATTAGATAAATCGGCTAATTAGATTAACCTGGCTGTCAACCCCAATATAAATCAAAGTTTAAGTAGTTTAAAGACACCCTCCCTTTTATATTTCTTTAAAATGTTTTGTGTCCAGTTAAGCTATATAAATAAGTTCTGGGATGGATTGAACCTTGTTATACTGTAAGTTAAGCTTACGGAAGCACATTAAAGGCAGACCCCCACTTAATTTCCCAACTTTCTTATTTTTTACCCAAATTCCACCAAACTTGGTATGTATGTGTATAATCAAATTCTAAATTTGATGGATATATCGAATTTGCGTATTGCGCATGCGCATTACTAACTTTCTTATTTCTTATGCGAATTTCATCAAACTTGGTATGCATGTGAATAATCGAAAATCTAAATTTGATGGATATATCGAATTTGCGTAGTGCGCATGCGCATTACCAACTTTCTTATTTCTTGTCTGAATTTCATCAAAATTGGTACGTATGTGTATAATCCAATTCTAAATTTGATGGAAATATTGAAATTTTGTTGTGCGCATGCGCATTACCAACTTTCTTATTTCTTATCCGAATTTCACCAAACTTGGTATGTATGTGTACAATCCAATTCTAAATTTGATGGAAATATTGAATTTTTGGTGTGCGCATGCGCATTACAAACTTTCTTACTTCTTATCTGAATTTAATCAAACTTGCTATGTATGTGTATAAACCAATTATAATTTCAATGGAAATAACCAATTTTTGTTGTGTGCATGTGCATTACCAATTTTCTTATTTCTTATCCGGATTTCATGAAACTTGGTCTTTATTAATTGACAAACATTCTTTTATTCCTAGTCAATATACTATAAGCTCCAGGCACTTCTGGATATTTGCATTTAGAGATGCAGAAAAGTATTTACTAGAATGTAATTGCAATAGACTATCTTTGTATGTACCTGAATGTCGTAACCCTCCCTGCATCAGTACTGTTATTAGAACAGTTCTAGTTGTTGTTGAATTTTTACATGCCACCATCTTTAAAAAGCCTAATCTAATTGCTTAACAACCTCTTGGGACAAATAGGATGATTAGTCTAATCAGTTTAGGTAAATTTTCTGACAAATCTATCAATTAATCAAAGCTTTCTGGCTCACAAATACACAAAATATCTAATCTATGAAATTTAATCGGCCTACAAAAAACGCCTGTGTACCTGAAGATGGTCAGATTCAATAAAAGAATGAGCTAAAAGGAGGTAAACCGTTATTTATGGAAAACGTAAAGAAGAATTGAGCAATGAATTATGTTATGAAACACTGGAACTGATATCAGGTTTGATTTTCTTCGCTGCCAAAACATTCTGAATACTTCCAAAATTCTTTTTGTTTACAAATTTTCTTTCCCATAGAAACAGACTTGAGCATATGGGACATAACTCTGAGATATCTTGCAACATAATGTGCCATTAGGTGTGCATAAACAATTCGATCCAACCTCTTTAAATAACAAATGAGCCTGAAAATTTTGAACAATGCATTTACTTACCAGCATGACTTCTATAATGGTACATTAAGGTGGCACTTGCAGTGAATGTTTTATCTTTACAAATTTTACATACCAAAGGAACTCGGTCATCTTTTTTTCTAGTTTTTAATTCACGTATACATTTTAATGCCAACTTCTGTAAAACAAAACAAAAATTATCTCATAGCATTTAGAAGAATTAAAAGGATGTCTAAGCCTATTTTGACTATCAGAGACACCAAAAGCAGTAATTTGAACCATTCAGGGAGATTTCTGACCAATTAAGATTGTAAAAGATAGCTTGCTAGGCAAGATAATACACAACACACTGCAAGTTTTTTTTTCAGAAAGCTTGACGGGTAAGGTAACTGGCAGCTTTGATTTTAAACAAAAATATTTAGCAGTACAGTATCAATCACCAGTATGAAATGTTCAACCTTTAGTCATAGACTTCTTTTGAATTGTTTGGGATGATACTGAACAAACTAAGTTTTGTCAAAATCCAGCAACAGTCATGTTTTTTTTTAAGTGTTTATGAGCTAAAAATAAAGAAATACCCTTTATTAGGCATGGTGTAACCAGTCAATTGCAGAGGCATCTCCAGTCAATTGCAAAGGCCAACTACCAAAATAAAGGCGGTTCAGGTTCAATACAGATGTGTCTCGGGTCAATTGCAGAAGCGAAATGACAAGGCGGTGCAGAGGCGTCTCACGTGAAGTGTGGAGTTGTGGAGGCGAACTTACATTGCTAGTGCGCATTCTTTTTTATGCGGGGACAATCTTGGTCAGATGAAGAGACGCCTCCGCATCAGGTCAAATTCACCTCACATTTTCTAGCATAAATAGAAGTAAAGCTTCACTTGTGCATAGTTGCCTCTGAAGCGTTCAATCAAGAACGAAACCAGTCGGGCTATTCCATGCCTAAGAAAGGGTATTTTTTTAATATACTCTAAGCTTCTTCAAATTCAAAGCGTTTTCAAGAACAAAGCAATACTTGACACTTAATATTTTCGATTATTCTGATGTTGAATAGAGTTTATTCTTGGTTGGTTACGAACTCTCATATCAAGTTTTGTCAAAATTCGTCCTATTGTCCTCATAGGACATAGAGTGTTTACCAGCATATGTGGACAACATGAGTGTCCAATATACTCCCCCAATTTCATGTAAAAAGAAATATACCCTTGCAATAAATTTGTCCTTCCTTCAGTGGCATATATTGATAAATTAGCCAGATTTCTGTATGCATTTGAATTCAGACAATTTCTTTTTGGAAATATGTGTTACCATGGAAAAATCCCCTCCGTAACCTGAAGCACTGACAGGAATTTTACAATTCATTGTAATGAGTTTTTGAACTCACTATTTCAATTTGTGGAAATTTCAACTTATGCAAAAAATATGTTAGGTGTGCCAAAAAGGATTTTGTAGATATGAATGAGAATATCTTAATTTCCAGAAAATATTGATCATTAATAGTAATAAATAACATACTAACCGTCTCCCAAACATTAGAATTATCATCTCCTTCAATTATTTGATAGCAATCATTGTTATTCTGTATTTGCTTTACTTTTTGATCTATGTCTTCATCACTGAATGAGATATTTTCCTCTGGTACTGAGATTCTACCTTTTTTAGATGGATTAGATTTAGGCATTGGTGGATATGGCTCTAAAACATTTAATAAATTACTCATAATTACTACAATAATTTATTACAAATTTGTCAGTCTGACCAAAATTAGACTTAAAAAACCTGTTTGTAGTAATGTCATAAAAACTACACTAAATCAAATTCATACTCCAATTTTTACATAATTGGTGATCTTAATAACAAATGACTACACAAAGTTTCAATAAAACTGTCGCTTCTGATGTTTTTTTAAATTCAAAACCTGTTCATCTTAAAATCATAACCTCTTGACTCATGGAAGATTGTGCAAAAAAAAGTCCTCAATTAAGATCAAATGAGCTAATTGATGCCTTGTATTCTTTTTGTTAAATACACACTAGGTTATATCTTCACAAACAAAATTGGACACTTGGACACATTGGAACTAAGTCAAGTTCAACAACTCAAAAACCCTCCAGTGTAGGCATATTTGTAAATTCGTATATTTTTTTGTCAAAGGAAAAACTCATTTGATTTCATTAGAAGGTATCATAAGCTTAAAAAAAAAATTAGGATGGCATTTTTTATGAACATTCTTTGGCTGCTAAACACTAGTAATAAGATATTTTGGCGTACATATGTGACAGAATTACAAATGTCTAAATATGTGTTTTTCTGATACCAGGATTCTAGTGGAATAAAACTTTTGTATAAATGGCCACAACACACCCACAAAACCTTCATTGCTTCAAGGAAAATATGATGTTGGATGTTACACCTACAATGAGCGATATTTCGCTCAACTCAGTTTTAGTGTACACATTGTCCAAGATACTGTTGTTAAGGTCCATGCTGGCAAAAACCCTAACAGAAGACTACGGGCGAGTAGACAAGGCTCTCCCAGGGTTTCCACAACACATCCAACCACCTTCCAAAAGCCAGAGCTGCCCAATTCACTGCTACCATCTTACAGGGAACGGCACAAACCATTCAACGAATTCATTTAACTTTCCTACAGTCACCGGCCAACTTTATTTTATAACTCATATAAATGCTATTTGCTTTTTTAGATTTTCAATCAAGAGTTCATCCATGGGTGATAATAAACAACATAAGCTAAATGACAAACAAACTATCTTAATATTACCTTATATTATAAGTTGCTGTTAACTAGTGTATTATATTATAGAGACTACGGTATCCCAATTACTCAAATAGTACATGTATATTGATATTCATTCATTGTATTCATATGCCTATGTCTTGCACGTGTTGTCGTCATTTAATAAAGTGTCTTAGCCCAGGATGGTCGTTTATCAAAAAGCTATAACGCAACATGGTGTCAGAAGTGAACGGCTGATAGTCAGAGCATTAAATTGCTGAACGGTCTGTAATCATTTAAAATGGCAAAGTTTGAAACTCCAGAACCTTTTACATTTGGGAAACCAATGAATTGGTTATCCTGGATTAGACGATTTATGAGATATCGAAGCTGTTCAAAGCTCTTCGAAGAAAATGAGGAGATTCAAATCAGTGCATTAATTTATTGTTTGGGTGCAGAAGCAGAACATGTATTTAGCAGCTTAACCCTTGCAAAGGACGACAAGAAGAAGGATTTTGATATTGTCAAACAGAAATTTGAGAATAATTTCTTACCAGATAGAAATCTTGTATTTTTGATAAATCAGTTTACCACCACGATGCAGCAGCGCGGTGAAACCGCGGAAACTTTTATTCCTAAACTTTACAAACTGGCTGAGAATTGCGATTTTTAGAGCTACTAAAGATGAAAAAATTCTCGACACACTAGTCACAGGCATCCTTGATAAACCTGTCTCTAGAAAATTACAACTCGAGAGAAATCTAACTTTACAGAGAACCATACAGATAGCCAGAAACAGTGAAATGGTGAAGGCACAAAACAACGAAGCTGTTGGAGGCAAATGATTATCAAATTTAACTAATATCAATAAAAAAGTGGAAGCCATATCAACGCAAAGGAATGCGAAATTTCACAGAGAAAATAGAAGAGGAAAAGGACATTTCCGTGGTGGACATTATCAAAGCGCGGGATCAAGAATCCGATTTCAGAATCCAAAGCAACGTAATAATTATTACGAGTCAAAACCAAGAAACTCGGATCATTTTGGTGAAACGAAACTGTAATCTTTGACGATTTTTGTGCTGAATGTATTAAGTGTCAAAATATAGAACATTTTGCTGTATGTTGTCGAACTAAGAATGCTAGAGAATTGAATATTAATAATGATAAATCAGGTTACACACCATTATGCAAAGGCCAATCAGTTGACAGCGTTGACATTCCTGATCCCAATGAATGCTTTTTAGGGTCCATTCATACAAATGAAACTGAATTAGATTGGAATGTTAAATTGTTTGCCAATAATTGTTTTGTCAAATTCGATTCAGGGGCAGACGTTACTGTTATATCAGAAAGTAGTTATTATAATATGCGTATTATAAGTTTAGTATAAGTTTTAGAAGTTTTAAATTGTATTGGTTACTTTGTATCTAATGTTACGTATAACAATGTTAAGATGAAGTCGAAGATTTATGTATTAAGAGGTAATTTCATTCAGAATTTACTAGGTAGATCTGATGCTGTTAAATTAGGGTTAATTTCTTTAAATATTAGAAATTGATAATGATGTATTTGGTGATATATGTCTTCTTAAAGGTGAACCAGTTAAAATTCAATTAACAGACGATTGTGTACCCTATGCAATCCATACCGCTCGTCGGGTGCCACAACCACTATTATCCAAATTCGAAGACGACAATAAACGCATGGTTGACCAAGATATTATTGTCAAAGTGACCGAACCGTCAGATTGGTCTGCTCCAGTTATCCATGTGTCGTAAAAGTCAAGTAATCGCATCAGAATATGTGTAGACCTTAAACAAATAAATAAGTCTGTAAAACGAGAACTTTATGTCTTGCAACCTTGGACGATATTTTGAATAAAACGTCAGGTAAAGGAAGTCGTTATTTTTCGCACTTAGTTGCCTCTTCTGGTTTTTACCAGATCCCTCTTGATGAAGAAAGTTCGAAACTTACAGCATTTATAACTTCCGCTTCCGAAATTTTCATGCGGAAAATGAACGAACTGTTAGAAGGGATAGACAGTGTAGCAGTAGACATGGATGATATCTTCATTTTTGCATCAACGAGCCTGATTGTATTTTAGCCTCAGTTATCGCGTATATTAGAGAATCCGGACTAAAATTAAACAAGAATAAGTGCATTTCGAGACATTCGGAAAAAGATTTGTTAGGCCATAAAATAAACCAACATGGTATTAGCCCTCATCCAGATAAAGTAAGAGCTATTAGAGAATTACGTCCACCAACCAATATTACAGAATTGAAATGTGTATTGGGCATGATTAATTATCTTGGAAGATATGATAAGCGAAGCTCCGGTATTATCTATTTTTGACGTAAAGAAACCTACTATGATCAGCACTGACGCAAGCCAATATGGAATCGGCAGAGTTATTCTACAGCAACACAGCCAAGAGTAGAAACCTGTTGCATTTTGTTCGCATACTTTGACAGATGCAGAAAAACGTTACGCGCAGATTGAAAAGGAGTGCTTAACTTCCGTTTGGTCTAGTGAAAAATTTTCAAGATATTTACATGGATTAGATTCCAATATATACAGTGGTGTAACCTATTTTCGTGGATATAAGGATTCAACACGGAATTTCGTCAAAGTAAAAAAAACGAAAAAAAAAATTTCATGTCTTGGATGTTCTACAAAATAATTAAAATTGGTTTATTTCGATTTTCTTTATGAATCCTTCACTTTGACCCATATTTCATGAGCAACCAACTCAGCAACGGCGGCAGAATGCGTCACCTATTTTTGTGTACAATGTTTGATCTATAAATAAGTCGAGAAAAACACGTGACTAGTGACAATTCCTTCATAGAACCACGATTTTAAAATAAAATAGTGACTGACTGACTGATACGTAGCGTGATTTATTGCTAAAAGTCACTGAAACAACATAAGAATATGGTCCACTTTGTGTTCCATAGAAATTTTCTGCTGACACGGAATCTGCTAGTTGATCAAGTGACTTCATTGGTTGGACTACATTCTAGCAGACGACACTTGGTATTCCGATTACCGCTTGGGATTATAAGGAAATTCGGCCGATAAAAAATGGTGACGTTTGGTAATAACTGAAATCCGCCATTTTGTATTTGTCAAAGTATACATTAATACATTGTACCTTGCTTGAAACTACTGAATTCATTCTACTAGCTGATATTGTACAGAAAACCCATGTTTATCAAAACAAGCAAATGCAGAGGTCACGCGAGGTCGCACATGTAAATTATTAATCCTTTCCGGAAATCCACGAAAAATGGGTTTCCACGAAATTAGGTTACTTGACTGTATTGATAACTGATCACAGTTCGTTAGTTCCTTTAATCAATAGAAAATACATAGACCAAGTGCCAATAAGGTGCCAACGTTCATTAATGAGAATGATGGTTTCAATCCAATTGCGGAATATAGGACTGGAAAGACACTACTAATATCAGATACTCTGTCAAGAAGTACTTTATTAGTCTCTGATATTTTTTAATTAGACCAAGATGTTGAAGTATTTGTAAATTCGGTTGTATCTACATGGCCAGCTACAGATCAGTTACTTGCCAGTATTGTCCAACTTACTAAAAGAAGATGAGACACTGAAAGTTGTATTAAATTACATTAAACAAGGATGGCCAGAATATGAAAGAGAAACCTGATGTTAAACCTTACTTTTCAGTACTTGATAAATTAAGTACTGTTAATGGAATACTTACCTATGGCAAAAGAATTGCTATACCTACTTCCATCAGAGAAGAAATGCTGGATCGTATTCATTTACATTTACATTTTGTGCCATGAGAGAGACCATGGCAGAAAATAGCTGCGGATTTATGTACCTTTAGAAACACACAATACTTAGTTATAATTGATTACTTCTCGAGATTCTTGGAAATTTTACATCAACCGACTACTACCAGCAGTTATATCTAAATTTAAAGAGGTGTTCTCGAAATTCGGGATTCCAGACAAGCTCATTTCGGACAATGGCTCACTATTTTCGTCACACGAATTTAGAAATTTTGTATTAAATTTGGGATTAATCACACTACTACAAGTCCACATTTCCCACAAGCCAATGGAGAAGCTGAAAGAGCTGTCCAAACAGCGAAAAGGATTTTAAATCAACCAGATCCACAGACTGCCTTGTTGATGTACCATGCAACACCTTTAGAAGCAACAAAAGCTAGTCCTGCTCAACTCTTAATGGGACGACAGATTAGATCAACTCTACCAACTCTTCCAGACAATGTTAAACCAAAATGGCCAGATTTTAACCAAGTTAAGAAACATGATGATCGGCGTAGACAGATACAAGTTTAGCTTCAATCATCACAACGCCGCTACAGACCTATCTGAATTACAGGAAGGGGATAGAGTACTGGTGAAATTGGATCATGAAAAACACTGGTCAACTCCAGGAAAAATTGCATTTAAAACCCATCAATTTAACACTGAAATTCACCGTTTTCTGACCTGCAAGTGCAATACAGGTTAACAACTAGCTAAGTATAGTTTATGTAATTCAAATAGGCCGTAGGGATTTATATTCCCGATGACTCTCAGGGAAGTAAAAAGACATTATTGAAGTAAATCGTATCTTGTTGAAGTTCTAGGAACATAAAAAAATTGCCATCGGAAGTAATAACTTATCTAATTGGACACGAAAAGTTATCTATTTATATCCGCCAATGAATTTCCTACTTCCATTATTTTTCTACTTTCGGTTTTAAGAATACTTGCGCTTATCATAATATCCAGAGGTGTTTATTCAACATGGTGCCTGACAATCCGGCTCAGTGTATATCTTTGTATAGGATAGCTTGCCAGGCAAGGTAACATACGCCCACTGGCAGCTGTCAGAAATGATTAAATTTTAGTGACTAAAGTATGAATTTTCTCATATTGAAAAAATGTTAATAGTTTGAATTCAATGATATATATATATTTACTGCCATTTATTTATGCTGAGAAATTCCACCAAATTTTTAAAAATTAATATCAATAACCCAAATAGATCAAATTATCCATCAATATACATGATCACACCATGTTTTATTAAAATTGAAAACTGTAGTCTTTATTGTGCGCGATAAACAAATTTTGACACGTTTTTCCTAATTCAAGGGCAATAACTCAAAAACCGTTCATCGAAAGATCATTAAATTAAAATTTGTCATCAATATAAATGATCACACCAAATTTCATTAAAATCAGTAGAAAACTGTTGTCTCTATTGACGGACCAACTGACAGGGGCGACGGCAATATACGTCCACATTTCCATGTGGGCGTATAAAAATTCTTATGTAATATTTGAAATACAAATATCAAAGTGTGATTAGACTTCATGATTATCAAGTTTATATAAAGTAATTATAGAATTAAAATCACTAAAAGATTCGGACAAACGACTTGACTTAACACTGTTTATTCGTGTTTTGACTTGATCATCCAGACCTTGTATGTCTTCTCTCAGGTGCTAGTAATCTGGATGATCTAGACTATGTTGTTGTTGTTCCGAACTTATTTGCTTTCCGAGGCGAGAAATGTCAATCTGTTACGCAAAAAAGAACACACAATATTTACAGCCATAATCGCAATAATTCACGATCTTTTCAACAAAAAAAATATTTTTCATAGATTTGGTACCGGACAAAAATGTCCAGCTCAAACGAGAATGTACCGGTCATTTGCCGAAATTGTACCAGATAATGTCTGTGTCTGGACGCTTATTTCAAGCCTTGGGTTAACATTCAAAAAATTAATCTTCTATAGAAAAAAATAGGTAGTCCTAAAGTCCAACATGATTCAAGAGTTAGAATGTGGCTGTATAAAAATTAAAGAAAATTCTGAGCATAACTTGATTACGATAATAATCGTTCAGACAATTACGAAACCCGAAATCCAAAACAACTTTTTGGTGAAAAATTATTAGAAGCAAATGAATTATTCACATGAGGAAGCATATCAATCATAAGTGAGTTAGTATTTCATAATGAAAAGTGGTATCAGGTGTCTAAAAGAGTAAGCATACACTTCCTGGCGCATTTCCTCATAATCAGTAAAAATCTATAGCACTAGAATCATTATATAAACAACATATATTGACTAAATCAAAGGCAAAATCAGATATTCAAAAATCATCAAAATCAAACTTTTATAACATCTCTCCAAAATATGAATTGAGTTCTACTTCAAATCTTTGTTGGATGACATGAAACAATATGCATCAGGAATAAACTTACTGAATCCATCGTGTTTATCACCTTCTGCTTCACATATCACATCACCAACAACTTCTTCACTGCAAACCATTGGCATATCAATAGTGCTCCTTACAGATGGTAGACTTAAAATAGGTTCTAATTTACAATTGTAAATAATTGGTCCAGTACTTTCATCAAAATTACTTTCATCATCAGAATTTTGCAGAGACATTTTATCAATACCATTCTTCTTTCCAAACATTGTTGTGTAACAATGATCATGATATGGCTGTGTTTTGCTTAATAAATCTTTAATTAATTGTTCATTTTCTTGAATTTGTTTGTCTCTTATATCCTTGTTACCTGTTGGAAAATGTCGCGCAGTTGTGGCTTTGGGTTTAATATTATTTTTTATACTTTCATTTTCTGAATAAGATTTGTTTGATACTGATCTACTTAAAATTCCTTTTAAAGCACTACTTCTTCCTTGTGGTATATCATGTAATAAATCAGTTTGTGAAGGAATCACAGAATTTTCTTTGACATTATCTGCATCAGATTCTTGTAGTTGAACAGCTTCTATTACTGCTTCTAAATCTTCATCATCATTCAGAGCTTTTTTATTTCGTAGTCTCAAACTTGTAAATTTGGGCTGGCAGTTTTTATTTGTCTTTTTCTTTGCTGATGAGCTGAGGCTTGTTGAGGAAATGTTGATACTGTTTCTAGGTCTTTTACTAGCATCTATAATAGAGTGAAAAAACAAATCTTGCCTTGAAAAGGTTCATGTTTTTATATCAATCAGTGAATAGGGTAAATGATTCCATTTCCATAAATATCAAAGAATGTTATTATTATATCTTATTTCTATATAACTATGCTAAACAAAATTGAAGGTAAGGAACATTTCAACAACAAAATACTATTGAATTATCTGATGAACATTATTGCACAATTATAACAATTTAAAATGTTTCAAATAGAACCACTGGTTTTGGGTGTTATACAAGATACTCTCCTATAGAAGATCAAAAGAAGAGAACATACATCTTTTAGATATTTAATATGGATTAGATTAATACAGATTAAATTGATAATATCTTTAAATCTACATTACTGGTATCAAATTCAAATCTTATCATCAACCATAATACAACTCAAGGAATTGCTACCACTTACCAGCTATCTTTTTCATGCGAATATTAACTGGGACTGCTGAAAAGTAGAAAGGTTCTGTTCGATCTGGGTCTGAAAATAAAAATTTTCAAATTACACATGGGCAATTCTTCTTCGTCTATCATTACAACATAGCTTGCCAGGCAAGGTAATATACGCCAACTGGCAGCTTTGATTTTAAATAAAAATATTTGGCAGTACAGTAACAATTACCGGTATGATATATTCAACCTTTAGTCATACACTTCTTTTGAACTTTTGGAGGCGATACGGAATAATATTATCAAGTTTCATCAAAATCTGTCAAGAATTGAACCTTCTAGAGTGTCTAGAGTGCTAAAACTTAACATGTTTTTAAGAACAAGGGCAATAACTCATACTAAATATTTTCAATTTTTCTGATTTTCAATAGGGTTTATCCTTTGGTGATTACAAACACTCACATCAAATTTCGTCAAAATCTGTCCAGAATTGTGCCTTCTAGAGTACTTACAAGCTAAAATTGAACGTGTTTTCAAGAACAAGGGCAATAACTCATACTAATAATTTTTTGATCTTTTTGATTTTAAATAGGGTTCATCCCTGGGTGATAACAAACACTCACACCAAGTTTTATCAAAATCCGTCAAGAGTTGCGCCTTCCAGAGTGTTTACGAGCGTTTTAAGAACAAGGGCAATAACTCATACTAAATATTTTTCTGATGTCAATCAATTTCACACATTAGGATTTTGTTTTCAGAAAGAAAACCACAAAAATTAGATTTTTTTTAAAATTTAGGCAAAATTTGAATTTGTGTAGCAAACTATCCATGTCACATATCCTTCAAGAGAGAATAACAGATACATCCTAATCATTAAAATCACATTGATGTGGGATAATTAAATTTGTTTATTAGTTCTGGAGATAAAAAATTTACAAAAAATTTCAAAATATGTTCATTCATCATTGACATATATCGTTAAAAAGAGTATTTTAACGCAATCTGAAAAGCTTGCCAGGCAAGGTAATATACGCCCACTGGCAGCTTTGATTTTTGAATAAAAATATTTAGCAGTACAGCAACAATCACCAGTATGAAATATTCAACCTTCAGTCATACACTTCTTATGAACGTCCGTCCGTCTACAATTGCTCGTAAACACTCTATTTCTTGACGGATTTTGACAAAACTTGGTATGAGTGTTCGAAATCACCCAAGGGTGAACCTTATTGAAAATCAGAAGAATCGAAAAATATTTAGTATGAGTTATTGCCCATGTTCTTGAAAACGTGTTCAATTTTTAGCTCGTAAACACTCTAGAAGGCACAATTCTTGATGGATTTTGACAAAACTTTGTATGAGTGTTGGTAATCACCCAAGGATGAACCCTATTGAAAATCAGAAAAATCGAAAAATATTTAGCTCTTAAACACTAAAAGGAATGATTGTTGTTGGATTTTGACAGAACTTGCTTTTATTATTCAGTCCCGCGCTGAAGATTGAATATTTGCCTTCTAAAGTTTTCATGAGCTAAAAATTGAACATTTTTTCAAGAACAAGGGCAATAACTCATACTCAATATTATTCATTATCGCCCTAAAGAGTTCAAAAGAAGTGTGTGACTGAAGGTTGAATATTTCATACTGGTGATTGTTACTGTACTGCTAAATATTTTTATTCAAAATCAAAACTGCCAGTGGGCGTATATTACCTTGCCTGGCAAGCTATCTGTCTGATTTTCAATGGAATTTATTCTTGGCTGATAACAAACACTCATGCAAACTTTTGTCAAAATCCGTCAAGAATTGTCCCTTCTAGAGTGTTTACAAGCTAAAAATTGAACGCGTTTTCAAGAACAAGGGCAATAACTCATACTAAATATTTTTCGATTCTTCTGATTTTCAATAGGGTTTATCCTTGGCTGATAACAAACACTCATGTCAAGTTTTGTCAAAATCCGTCAAGAATTTTGCCTTCTAGAGTGTTTACGAGCTAAAAATTGAACGCATTTTCAAGAACAAGGGCAATAACTCATACTCAATATTTTTCGATTCTTCTGATTTTCAATAGGGTTCATCCTTGGGTGATTATGAACACTCATACCAAGTTTTGTCAAAATCCGTCAAGAATTGTGTCTTGTAGAGTGTTTACGAGCAATTGTGGACGGACCGACGGACATGGGTGACAGCAAAATTCCCCCCCAGAGATATATATAAAAATTCTGTTTCTCACAAGTATTAGATAAAGTTACAAGGTTTTGATAGACACCAAAATCGTACAAATCGGATAACTTATTTAAATGCACCACTCTCAGTTAACAACACCTACGTCACTTTCGGAGTTCAGGTTTGAATAACTGTAGAATCGAATCTGTCCGATAATTAGCACCCGACTAGAACATATCAAATTTGTGCCTTCTGGATTGTTTACAAGCTAAAAATTGAACGCATTTTCAAGAACAAGGGCAATGACTCATACTAAATATTTTTCAATTTTTCTGATTTTCGATAGAGTTTATCCTTGGGTGATTACAAAGTTTACAAACACTCACACCAAGTTTCGTCAAAATCTGTGTCAGAATCAAGCAGAAACAACTGAGCTTTTAAAACAAACTGGCCAAATGAATGAGGTAATTGTGTGCAAAATCCATTTTTGAACAAATGTATCCTATGCCCTGCCCCAAAATGTAAACATTTAGTAATGTAACCCAGATGTGCCACGCCCACCTAAATTTTTTTGTCATGGGTTAATTCATATTCAAAATGTTTAGTTGTCTTTCAAATTTCAAGCTTCTACATCAAATAGGTCATAAGATATACATACACCATGCTTAAAGATGCAAAAATATTGTAAGAAAAGCAGACTCAAATTTAAAGATAGCTTGCCAGGCAAGGTAATATACGCCCACTGGCAGCTTTGAATGTAAATACAAATATTTGGCAGTACAGTAACAATTACCAGTATCAAATATTCAACCTTCAGTTCTTTTGAACTGGTGTTACTGAATAATATTACGAAGTTTTATCAAAATCTGTCAAGAATTGTGCCTTCTAGAGTGTTTACAGGCTAAAACTTGAACGCATTTTTAAGAACAAGGGCAATAACTTATACTATTTTTTTTCGATTCTTCTGATTTTCGATAGAGTTCATCCTTGGTTGATAAACACTCAAACCAAGTATTGTCAAAATGCATCAAGAATTGTGCCTTCTAGAGTGTTTATGACCAATTCTGGAAGGACGGACGGATGTGGGTGAGGACAATATGCACTCCCTATTTTATTGTTCCATAAAATAGAAGACACACAAACCATTTGACAATCGTTTTCATGAACAAGGGCAATAACTGATACTAATTATTTTTGGATTCTTCTAATTTTTGATAAGGTTCAGCCTTTGGTGATAAAAAACATTAACACCAAGTTTCGTCAAAATCTTCTAGAGTATTCACAAGCTAAAATTGAACGCTTTTTTAAGAACAGGGGCAATTACCCATACAATTTATTTTTCAATTTTTTTGATTTTCATAATAGAACTAGAACTGTCTATAGTCTATTGCAATTACATTGATGTAAATACTTTTCTGCATCTCTAAATGCAAATATCCAAAAGTGCCTGGAGTTTAAAGTATATTGACTAGGAATAAAAGAATGTTTGTCAATTAATAAAGACCAAGTTTCATGAAATCCGGATAAGAAATAAGAAAATTGGTAATGCGCATGCTCACAACAAAAATTGGTTATTTCCATTGAATTTATAATTGGTTTATACACATACATAGCAAGTTTGATTAAATTCAGATAAGAAGTAAGAAAGTTTGTAATGCGCATGCGCACAACAAAAATTCAATATTTCCATCAAATTTAGCATTGGATTGTACACATACATACCAAGTTTGGTGAAATTCGGATAAGAAATAAGAAAGTTGGTAATGCCATGCGCACAACAAAAAAAATATTTCCATCAAATTTAGAATTGGGTTATACACATACATTGCAAGTTTGATGAAAATCGGTTAATAAATAAGAAAGTTGGCAATGCGCATGCGCACTACGCAAATTCGATATATCCATCAAATTTAGATTTTGATTATACACATGCATACCAAGTTTGATGAAATTCGGATAAGAAATAAGAAAGTTAGTAATGCGCATGCGCAATACGCAAATTCGATATATCCATCAAATTTAGAATTGGATTATACACATACATACCAAGTTTGGTGAAATTTGGATAAAAAATAAGAAAGTTGGGAAATTAAGTGGGGGTATGCCTTTAATGTGCTTCTGTTAGCTTTACTTACAATATAACAAGGTTCAATCCATCCCAGAACCTATTTATATAGCTTAAATGGACACAAAACATTTTAAAGAAATATAAAAGGGAGGGTGTCTTTAAACTACTTAAACTTTGATTTATATTGGGGTTGACAGCCAGGTTAATCTAATTAGCCGATTTATCTAATAATAACCCCATGTTAAGTGAATGGGGTTTTGAATTTGAATGTAAGACATGCATGTTTTATATCACTGGAAACCTCAGAATCTCTACATTACAAAATCAAAAGAATTATCGCCATATCTCTATTAGGGACCGAGATATAGCACTGCAAAGACTCAAAATGGTCCATTTTTAGACCCCTGTAAAATCGGAAAGAGTTGTCTGACCCCAAAGGTCAAAAGGTCATCAGATAGACAAGGTCACATATTATCATCGTAGTAAATATAAAGGTCATCAAAGGTCAAGGTCATGAGATATACGCGTTCAAATTTTGAAAAAAAACATCCGGTCGTACAAAAAAGGCAAAACCGAAAATCAAAATAATGCTGCCTAAGGATTGTAGACAGACTTGAAACGTATCGTTTGACACAAAAGTTATGCAAATCAGATGAAAAATGGCCTCTGAATAGCAATTTCTGCAAAATGAGGCAAACCAAAATGGCGGCCAACATGTTACTTCTGGTGCGGATTTTTTTAGTTTAATAAGTTTGCATTAAGACTGGTAATATAATGCATATGTTATTTTTGACATAACTCAATTTCACCGGAAGTGATACCACCGGAAATACTAACATCGAAACCGGAAGTGATAAAAAAAATTTGAATGTGTACTTTTATGTCTCTATGCTGGCGGTCTACACCACGTAAGTTTCAAGTCAATCCGTCCGATAACAACCGAAATAGTATTTTTCGATTAATTTCAGCAAAAAAAGTATGCAACGAGTTTTCGCAAATTGAAAATTTTCAACTGCTATCATTTGTCCTTTGTTACAAGAAATACGATGCAGAAAACCCGATCAAATTCGGTTGATAAACACGCCCTCTAGAGTCCATTTTCCGTTTGTTGCAACGTTGCGTAATGTTTCTCAGAAAGTTTTCGTTTTACATTTAAACTGTGATTAGCCACGAGTTACAAAACGCCATGAAGTCCGTTTTCCCGTACCTATTGCCGTTGCCCAGAAAACCGACCTGCCTAGACGAAAAAAAAAAAAAAAAAAAATCAATTCGAAAACAAAGCAGGGCGTTCGCTTCGCAATTAGTCCTTGGGTGATAATAAACACTCATACCAAGTTTCAACAAAATCATTCAAGAATTGTGCCTTCTAGAGTGTTTATGACCAATTGTGGACAGATGGACCAATGGACAGACGTGGGTGACAACAATATACGCCGCCCCCCATTTTATTGTGCCATAAAATAGAAGACACACAAACCATTTCATAAAGTTTTTTATTTGTGCGTTTTTAGTTGATCCAAATAATGTGGATACTCTATAGCACAACACATGGGTAAACATTCAAAAAAATAATCTGCTATGGAAAAAATATGTGGATACTCTATGTTATGCTATAGAGTATCCACATTATTTGGATCAACTAAAAATGGACTAGTGTACTGGTCACTCTGGATCACCTTTTGCCATGTAGATGTTAAGATTGGGGACATAGTGCGCTAACACTATATACAGGAGCTACAAAGCAATGTATTTTTTTTTTTAAAACGAACCACAAGCAGCCTGCGCATGTTCTTTACTTTCCAAAATCCAAATTTAGATACAATTCACTGACGTAATGCCGTAGACCATACCATCTACGGATAGGTAGGAATATACATATGACCACTCCCTCAGTCATAATAAATTATTTTGTTGCCAAATTGTAACAGTTCTCTTGCCATAATAACTCCTCCTGGACTCGTAATCAATGTATGTCTATATCCTCCCCAAAACCCCTAGCCAAGTGACGAATGCACGTGCGTGGCGGAATTCATACAGGCAAAGGCAGGGAATCCAGAGAATGAAGAGTAAAAAAATTTGTGAAATGGTTTGTGTGTCTTCTATTTTATTGAACACTTTCTTAAACCTTTGGACCCACTGCATCTTCCTTAGCTTAGGCTATTGAACAATCATCATTTTATGAAACCATATTGGATTCCTACCATGAGAAGAATGTTGGAATGTCATTTAGCAACTACCAAGGTAAGTGACATAATTGAACTTCAACTGACATTTCATGTGGGTCTGTACCTGAAGAAAGGGGCCTTTGTGCTCCTGAAAGATGTTTGACTTTAGGACTACTTAGTTTTTTCTATACCCCATTTCATGTGGGCATATAAAAAGAAGCTTTTGAAGAATTTGTATCACCGATTTTGGTGAAGATTCGTAGACACACGAAGAACAAACTATTTTCAATTCTTCAGCAAGTCCCATGTTTTTGGACTTTGAAATTGCTAAAGTTTCTTCATTATATAGGGGACAACTAATAATTTTTAGAAGATTTTGAAGCATTGAAAAGTTTACAAGGAAATATTGTTCATCTAAAATATTGAGTTGTGGGGTGCTGTCATTATCCTCACAATTGGTGTCAATGTCACTAGAAGTAGTAGAAGTGTCTGGATTATCTGATTGTTTATCATTGCTATGAATTTCTACAGGTGATTTAAACAAATCCAATTTCCTAACTGTTCCGGTGGATGTTTCTTCTGAATTATGAATTATCTCCAGTTTGAGAAGCATTAGAATTACTTATATTATCTTTATCAATGTTATTTTCAATGTCAAATTCTAAATTGTCAATGGAGGTATCACTTTCACTAAAACTTCTTTTCAAAAAACGATTTTTCCTGGCTAAAGTTTATTGTAATTTTCTCCTTAGAGTTCTGCCCTTATTATTGGCTACACTAAACTTTTGGTCCATTTTGTACACAAAATTTAATCAAACAACACGAAAAAGTAAACCACCGCAAAATAACAGTAAATTTCAGTAAATTATAGTCACAGTTATCTTATTTTTAATCAGTTTTTTTGTGTTTAAGTTAGGGACTTGTATGATCATGAATAAATCTAAATATAGAATAGCATTTTACAATGAAGCACCACCTATTCCAGCCTTTCATGCCATGCATAAAAGACAGTTGACCTTAATTTCTTATTAAAGCGACCCACATAAAGGAATAACCGTTAATTTTTCTACCAAATTCTTCTGATAATTGCCGAAGTAGGANTTGCATCATAGAGTTATCTTTCTTGCCCGGAAATGACCCTTGACATAGACCATCCAAAATACGTTAACTTCATTGAACATCATCTCGCTGTAAACCATTAAATGAAATATGTATACAATAGTCAACCAGAGCCACACTTGGCACATGTGCCAATTTGCAAGGGAATCTGAAGGATAGCTTGCCAGGAAAGGTAAAATACGCCCACTGGCAGCTTTGATTTTGAATAAAGATAGCTTGCCAGGCAAAGTAATATACGCTCACAGGCAGCTTTGATTTTGAATAAAAATATTTAGCAGTACAGTAACAATCACCAATATGAAATAATCAACCTTCAGTCATACACTTCTTTTGAACTCTTTGGGGCGATACTGAATAATATTGAGTTATTACCCTTGTTCTTGAAAACGTGTTCAATTTTTAGCTTGTGAAAACTCTAGAGGGCAAATATTCAATAATAATTATAAAACCAAGTTTTGTTTCGCAAGAATCATGCCTTTGAGTGTTTATATTGTTATTTTCAAGAACAAGGGCAATAACTCCTATGAAACATTTTTCGATCTTTTTGATTTTCGATAGGGTTCATCCATGTGTGATAATTAACAATTTCATCAATTTTCATCAAAATCTGTTAAGAGTTGTGCCTTCTAGAGTGTTTACGAGCTAAAAATTGAATGTGTTCTCAAAAACAGGGGCAGTTACTCAGTAAATATTTTTCGATTCTTCTGATTTTCTATAGGGTTCATCATTGAGTGATTACAAACACTTACACCTAGTTTTGTCAAAATTCGTCAAGAACTGTGTCTTGTAGAGTGTTTACAAGCTATTGTGGACGGACGGACATGGGTGACGGCCATTTCATGTGGGCGTATAAAAAGTATCTTGCCAGGCAAGGTAATATACGCCCACTGGCAGCTTTCATTTTGAATAAAAATATTTAGCAGTACAGTAACAATCACCAGTATGAAATATTCAACCTTCAGTCATACACTTCTTTAAAACTCTTTAGGGTGATACTGAATAATATTAAGTATGAGTTATTGCCCTTGTTCTTTAAAACATGTACAATTTTTAGATTGTGAAAACTCTAGAAGGCAAATGTTCAACCTTCAAAGCGGTACTGAAAAATAAAAAAAAGTTTTGTCAAAATCCGGCAAGAATCATGCCTTTAAGTGTTTAAGAGCTAAAATTTGAAAGAACATAACTGATAATAAATATTTTTTGATTTTTCTGATTTTTGATAGGGTTCATCCTTGGGTGATAACAATTCAAAAAAATAATCTGCTATAGAAAAAACTAAGTAGTCCTAAAGTTCAACATGTTTTCAGGTACAGACACACATGAAATGTCAGTTGAAGTTCAATGATGTCACTTTCCTTGGACTTTAGGACTACTTAGTTTATTCTAAAGCAGATTATTTTTTGGATGTTTATCCATGTGTTGTTCTAGAGTATCCGCATTATTTGGATCATAACAAGTGGTTGCCTAGCAAGATACGCCCACTTTACTGATACATTTTCAGTATATCAAGGGCAGTCTCCTATCTGTGTCAAATCATACCAAAAATCGTATTTGTGCAAGATATTGTTGATTTAAACAAAGACACATCATTTAATAAAATTCTGACATAAACTGTCACCTCTATCGCCAACAAATTTTGATGCGTTTTTACGAAGTCAAGGAATATAACTCAATTTCCGTTGAACGAAAAATTTCAAATTCAATCTTGACTAAGATCTCATCATTATAAATGATCGTACCAAATTCATTTAAATTGGGTGAAAACTGTAGTCTCTATTGTGTTCACAAACAAATTTTGACGCGTTTTTCATAAGTCAAGGGCAATAACTCAAACACCGTTCATCGAAAGATAGCCAAATTCGAACTTGTCCAAGATATCATCATTATAAATATTAACAATAAATTTCATTTAAATTGGATGAAAACTGTTGTCTCTGTTGTGTTCACAACCAAATTTTGAAGCGTTTTTCATAAGTCAAGGGCAATAACTCAAAAAACTGTTCATCGAAAGATCGTCAAATTCGAACTTGTCCAAGATCTCATGATTATAATTGATCACACCAAAATTCATAAAAAATTAAAACAGTAATTGTTATCCATAAAGTGTAATATCTATTATAGTAAATTACGAAAAGGCACATAAGGATGTAGTATATAACATATTTCTTTTTGTTTGTGCCAATTTAGGATTATTCTTTCAGCCCTTTTTACTCGAAATGTAAATATTAAATTTAACATCAAGTTGGTTCTGCTTTTTGGAAGCTGTTAGAAAAGTACTGTACGGATTTAAGTAACATAGGCTTGCGGCAAGTCTCGCAAGCGAATACGCCCACAAGCAGCTTGATAAAGAGCTAAATGTGAACTGTAAAACAAACTCTATAGCATAGTTTGATGCAGTATCACATTTAACTTGTACTTTCATATCTCTCTATTGAAACTACCTGGTTTATACATTAGGAGGCAGACAGCAAGTTTGCATTCTAGAAGCTAAAACCAACTTTTGTGTTGTTAAATTAAAGTAAAATTACAGTAAAATTATCGGATCATCACCAAATACAATTCATAATGATATTGACACACATACAAAAGATTCCGTGGAGAATTGTACGCTGTAGAGTGAGCACGAACCAAAAAAGTGAAAAAAAAAGAACGTGAAATCAGAGTTTTATGCGATCTCTCAAGAAAATCATCGGATCATCACCAAATTCAATAGTGCACATCTTCATAATGATATTGACTCACAAAGATCAAAAGAATCCATGGAGAATTCTAGCCTGTAAACTGAGCATGAGATAAATGTGATTGGACGGACAGACCGACGTACCGACCATAGTTAAGAAATATTTTCTGAATAATTTACAATGTTTTTGGTAATGAAAGTTGGCTTGCCAGGCAAGGTAATATACACCCACTGGCAGCTTTGATTTTGAATAAAAATATTTAGCAGTACAGTAACAATCACCAGTATGAAATATTCAACCTTCAGTCATACACTTCTTCTGAACTCTTTAGGGCCATACCGAATAGTATTGAGTATGAGTTATTGCCCTTGTTCCTTAAAAGGTGTTCAAAAAAAGTAATAAATATTACCGTCTAATTTAGCACTTCAGGGTATATTAATATATAAAAGCCTCATATTTTTTTTACTAAGATGTTTTCTTGGAGATACCAAACCACTCAGAAATAATCAACTCAAAATCAAATATTCCCTCTTTTTCTAATTAAAAATTCAACCAAATTTTATTCAAACATTGTGTTTACAAGCTAAAAATTTCCGAAAAACAATGGCAATAACTCATTCGTTCATTCGTTGATGATTTACAGTTTTACGAGCTAAATAATTGAATGATTTTCCAAGAACAAAGTTAGCCTTGCAACGCAAAGTGACACCCACCCAGCAGCTTTGATTGCAAGTACAAATCATTGTTTTTAACGTGTAGAGCCAAGTGTGAACAGACGGATAGACGAACGGAAGGATGGACCACAATATGCGTCCATACTACGTGTGGGCATATTAACATCAAAAGAATCCATGAAGAATTGTTGCTTGAAGAGTGGGCAAAAGTTGCACTATACGGTTAATAGATTGAATACCAAGTTGGAAACAACATTTTAGTGAAAAATTATCAGATCATCCTGAAAATTGATAGGGATCATCTTGATAAAAAAATTGTAGCCTGTAGAGTGAGCACGAGTTGCCCAATATAACTAATAGAGTGAAAACGCTTAGGCAGAGACGATATTTCGGTGAAAAAGTATCATTGCCAGCAAAAGAATACATTAAGAATTGAAGCCTGTAGAGTGAGCAAAAAAATTTGAACCGACAGACTTTTGCTGCTATTGTAGTAACCTAAATTATCAAGCAAAACACCAAAATCTGCTTTGCTACAGCCAAACATAAAAAGAAATTTTAATATTCCATACTAACCATTTGCTTCATCT